AGTCCAAGTGGAAAGACCTAATTACACTGACTAAAGACCTAAAAACACTGTTGTGGATTTCTCCAACAACTCCTAGTTCACCTTAGAGTAATAATCAAAATGGACAAGCCCTGGTAACATGTGCTCAAAGCTATTATTGAGCTCTTTAATCTCCCAGACTAAATAAAGAACAGACACCTGAAGGAGACTCCCAAAGAAAGTTTCCTAAAAGAAATACAAAAGTAAAAGCAGTATGGCATAAGGAATAGATCTTAATTTTATCTATTTCCAAATAGTTGTATAATTGATTTTTTAAAAAAGACCTAAAAAAAACCTAAAAAAAAAACCTACCATGTGTGAAACAGATGACCTGTCCAAGTTCAATGCATGAAACAGGGTACTCAAAGCCAGTGCATTGGGACAACCTAGAGGTATGGGATAAGGAGGGGGTGGGAGGGGAGGGTTCAGGATGGGGTGGAGGGGTGTTGCGGGGTTGGGGGGGGCACGATGACACATGTACACCTGTGGCTGATTCATGTCACTGTATGGCAAAAACCACCATAATATTGTAAAGTAATTAGCCTCCAATTAAAAGAAATAGATTAATTTTTAAAGAAACCTTTATTTAAATTTTTTCTCAGTGGGAAACCAGGGCAAAGCAAAAAAAAAAGATAAATTGGAGAAAATAGTTTCTAAAAGCTGGAGGAATTTAGTTTCATCAACTGTCCTGTATAATGGATAAAAATAAGCTCAAGCCAAGATACATCTGCATTTAATTTAAAAAGCTTGGGACAATGATAAAATGCTACAGTAAGAACTAAAAATATAGGTCTCATATAGAAAATATAAAATAAAATTCACTTTAGACTTCTTAACAAACACATTGGGTTAGGGAGCTCATGGGCATAATATTTCAAATTTCTGAAGAAAAATTATTTTCAACCTAAAACTCTATAATCAGTCAATTTTACACTCAAGTTTGAGAGTAAAATAAAGATAATTTAATACACTCAAGGTCACAATAAAATTTAACTTTCATATACCCTTCTCTGGAAACTACTGGAAGGTAAATATCAAAATGAGAGTAATCTAAGAGAGAGGAAGTCAGAAGAAAGAGAAAAGATATGATCCAAAGCAGAACAAGTGAAATGAGTCTCCATATAATGTTGAAGGATGATCCCAGGATGACTCTCATTTCCAGTACAGTGAACAACCAGTCCAGTTTATAGCTCTACAACTTAAGAGGCAGACATTTCACAGGATATCATCAGCAAGTCCCCTGACATACCTTCAATCATATGAAACAATTGGAGGATATGATCTCTTAAAGCTACAGAATAAACCAAAAAAGAGGAAGAATAAAATCCTTGAAATAGGAAACCCAATCAGAAAAAAAGGAAAAGAGAATGACAGCAAAGGAAAGTTCCAGGATGAGAGCTGCAAAGCAAATGTAGAGAAAAACCACTCAATTTGAAGGAGAATTGATAGCTCAGGAGATAAAGCAATGACCACATGGAAAGTTGTACTGAGAGGCAACTGGAAGTGTAAGAAGAATAGATGACATATCTAAAGAAAACCAAGTAAATGAAAACACAGGTAATCTTTAACTTCAAGGAATAAAAAGTAAAATAAAAAGATATAATGAGTACACAATGCTCCCAATGATGCTGCAAATGAAAGAAGGCATGAAAGGGCCTCGGAGATGTATAAGAGATAAAATCTAATCCAACATAAAAAGGAGTCAACTGATAATGTCTAAAGCCAATTAACCAAAGTATAGTAGAATATAAATTAAAGGAAGAAGAGACAAAGAGTTGAAAATGGCTGCTTATTGCTATAGTAATCAAAACAGTATGGTATTGGCAGAAAAACCGACACGCAGATCAATGGAACAGAATTGAGAGCCCAGAAATAAACCCACACATATATTAACAATTAATCAGACAAAAGGGCAAAGAACAGAAAATGGAGAAAGGATAGTCTTGTCAGTAAGTGGTGTTGGTAGAACTGAATAGCCAAATGCGAAATGATGAAACTAGACCACTATCTTACACCATATATAAATATCAAGTCAAAATGAATTAAAGGCTTAAGTATAAGACCTGAAGCCATAAAAACTCTCACTAGAAAATATAGGTGATATGCTTTTCAATACTGTCTTACTAATTTCTTTCTGAATATGTCTCTTAAGACAAGGGAAACAAAAGCAAAAATAAACAAATGATACTACATCAAACTAAAATGCTTCTGCACAGCAAAGGAAACCATCAACAAAAGGACAATCTATAGAATGGGAGAAGATATTTGCAAATCATATATCCAGTAACGGGTTAACATCCAATATATATAAAGAATCATGCAACTCAACAAAAACAAAGCAACCTAATTTAAAAATGAATGGAGGGGACCTACTGTATAGCATGTGGAACTCTGCTCAGTATTATGCAGCAGTCTAGATGGCAGGGGAGTTTGGAGGGGAATGGATATGTGTATATGTATGGCTGAGTCCCTTCGTTATTCACGGGAAACTATCACAGCATTGTTAATCAGCTATACCGCAATACAAAATTTAAAAATCTAAAGACATGAACAGAGGGGGATTCCTTGGTGGTGTAGTGGCTAAGACTCTGAACTCCCAATGTAGGGGACCCAGGTTTGATCCCTGGTCAGGGAACTAGATCCCACATGCTGTAACTGGGAGTTCATATGCCATATAGTTAAGAGTCTGTATGCCACCGCTGAAAGACTCCACATGCCACAACTAAAGATTCTGCATGCTACAACTAAGAGCTGACGCAGCCAAATAAATAAATAATAAAAGTAAAATGAACATAGGATCTGAACATTTTCCCAAAGAAGACAAAGAGTTGGCCAACAGCCACATGAAAAGATATTCAAGCATCACTAATTTTTAGAAAATGCAAATCAAAACCACGATGAGATATGACCTCACACCCATTAGAATGGCTATTATCAAAAAAGTCAAGAAATAACAAATTTTGGAGAGGATGTGGACAAAAGGGAATCATACACTGTTCATGGGAATGTAAATTTTGGAGCCACTATAGAAAATAACATGAAGATTCCTCAAAAAAAACTAAGAACTACCATATGATCCAGCTATTTCACTTCTGGATATTTACTTGAAGAAAATGAAAACACCAATTTATAAAGATATATGTACCCTATATTCATTGCAGCATTACTCAAAATAGCAAAGATATGGAAATGACCTAAGTGCCCATTGACAAATAAATGGACAAAGAAGATATGATACACACACACACACACACACACACCCCACCCCACCCCCGGAATACTACTCAGCATAAAAAAGATGAAATCTTTCTATGTGCTACAACAGACCTTGAGGATATTCTCCTAAGTGAAATAAGTCAGGGGGAGAAAGACAAATACTGTATGATTTCACTCATATGTAAAATATTTTTTAAAAAAGACAAAAACATATAGCTTTAGAGAACAGAGTAATGGTCATCAGAGGAAAAGAAGTGTAGGGGTAGGGCATAATGTGTAAGAGGGGTCACCTGTGTAAGAGAAAACTAAACTTGTGGTGAGCACACCATAGTGTACACCGAAGTCAAAATATAATGAACACATGAAACTTAATAAGGTTATAAACATATTACTTCAAAAAAGTCTCCTTATTGCAAAATGAACTAGGAAAATGAGGAGACACAGTACAGAAAACAACTGTATTTTCTTATAAACCTTTTAGTACTACTGATTTTGAATCAAGGTCATAGATTATTTTTAAAAGAGTGGATTTTAAAAGATCAGTAAAATAGAGTTCTTGCAAGTATCCTAAATAATAAAAAAGGAAATAAAATACTAAATATAACTAATAATACATATATAACTAAACAAATTATGCAATGAAAATATAATACCAAAATGTTTGCAAATCCAGATAAAATAAATGGTTTTTAAAAATAAAATACAAATTACTTTAAACAGAAACAAAACTCACAGATTAATAACCCAAAGTAAAATGGAAAGATAGCCATAAATTTACTACCCAAACCCAAACCATTTAAAAGGCAAGTCGTAATAAAGCATGTAGAAAACAGATGATAATATGATTATAAAAACAATTCTGTTCCATAAAAATAGATAGCTTCCTAATCCATACTACAAGGCCATAACAGTTTACTATCAAAGCCATATAAGCTAAGCACACACATACATGCACATACACAGAACAGCATGAGCCAGGAAAAATCCTAAAACAATGTTGGCTCATCAAATCTACCTGTGCTTTAAAACAATATGTAATGGTTAAATGTCATTTATATCAAGAATTCAATAATTAAAAAGCTAAAGAATAAAAGCACAACTTCACAGATGTCAAAAGTTACTCTAAAATATGAAAGAATAAATAAAAATAAAACTTTTTTCATCCAAAAAATGGAGCATTTACCCCAAGTTGACATCAACCATCATAGTTAAAGATGAAATACTAGGAGCACTTCCACAGACAAGAGTGATATCTGCATGCTATTATTAATTTTAAGAGTATTCATTGCATACTCTTAGAATGTCTGTTATGTGAACACATACTTAAATCAGGTGAAGGGTAGAGGATGGGAGTGGTAGAAAGTGTTCCAAAAAATATTGTGGGAAAAGAGCAAAGACCTTGAAACTGGAAGGGTTATTTAATTCACAAGAAACTGAAAAAAGGCCAGTTACTCTGCAGGGTGGACAGCATTATTGTTAAGCAGTTTGCAAATAAACAACAGGTCCTCAACCGGTATTTGTTGACATTGGGATGGAGACTTCATTGTCTTATATATTCTTTACTATAAATCTTAAAAACAAGAGATTTTCTTAGGATTAACTCCTGTATGGGAACCGGAGTTTTATAAGAAAACAGCTGATTTATTTTTCTGCGAGTGCAGGCTCACAGAGAGGGAAATGATGTAAGGACTTACTAGGAGTACCGTGACTAGTTGAGGAAAAATGAAATAAAACAGCAAAGAAACTTGGGGGGGGGGGGGCGGGAATCACTGCTACTTCAGTTCCTTTAACCCGCCATCTTTTTGTTCTATTCTTAAAATCGGGAATAACACCCACAAAACGCAAGGTGGCGCTGCAGGCTAAAAAGAGGAAAGAAAAAAAAAATCGCATAAAGGATGTTGCGGATGCCAGCGTTTAGAGGAAAGCTGACCAGACTAGAACAGTAGAGGAAAGGAAACCGTGGTAAGAGGAGTTGGGTAAAATGGGAATTCCTCCCTACAAGCACTGCTGTTATCCAGTTCATTTCTAAGGATTCGATTGATGCCATTTCTGAGTTGCTTAAGAACGAGAGAAAGTGTTTTTCAAAGTGGTTAAACGAAGAATGGACGCCGGAGTGGAATGTGCTGTGCAGCAAAGGCAAGTCCTCTTTCTTTGTGTATTTCTGGGAATGTCCTGGGCTGCTGAGGAACCGCTAGAGTATTTTGTGGAGGAGGAAGCTGAGAGAGGCACCTTTCTGGCCAACCTAGCACATGACCTGGGGTTCGGGATGGAGGAACTGTCAGCCCGGGAGCCTAGAATCATTTCAGACCAGAAAATAGGGTTTTTACTACTCGATCCGCTTACTGGTGATTTATCTCTAAATGAGAAATTAGACCGAGAGGAACTGTGCGGCCCCAAAGAGCCTTGTGTGCTGCCGTTCCAGCTGTTAATGGAAAAGCCTTTTGAGATTTTCCGTGCTAAATTATGGGTTAGAGATATCAATGATCATTCTCCAGTATTTCTGGATAGAGAGATTCCCTTGAAAATATTAGAAAGTACCACCCTAGGGGCGGCATTTCTTCTACAAAGTGCACAGGATTCAGATGTTGGAACCAATAATGTGAGAAACTATACCATCAGCCCCAATGCCTATTTCCACATTAATGTTCATAATGGTGCAGAGGGGATTATCTATCCTGAATTGGTCCTGGATAGATCGCTGGATCGAGAAGAGGTGCCTGAGCTCAGTTTAATCCTCACCGCCTTGGATGGTGGCTCTCCGCCCAGATCCGGGACTACCCTGGTGCGCATCCTGGTTTTGGACACAAATGACAACGCACCTGAATTTGTACAGCCTCTCTACAAGGTGCAGCTGTGTGAGGATAGCCCTGTGGGCTCTCTGGTTGTCACCGTCTCAGCTAGAGATTTAGATACGGGAAGTAATGGGGAAATAGTTTATGCATTTTTTTATGCTACTGAAAGAATTCTCAAAACATTTCAAATCAATCCAAGATCCGGCAGTGTTTATCTCAAAGCGGAATTGAACTATGAGGTAATGCAAACATACACATTAACTATTCAGGCCAAAGATGGCGGAGGACTTTCTGGAAAATGTACCGTGGTGGTCCAGGTAACAGATATAAATGACAATCCACCAGAACTACTCATGTCATCACTTACTAGCCCAATTAAAGAAAATTCACTTGAAACAGTCGTCGCTGTTTTTAGGATTCGAGACAGAGATTCGGGGAACAATGCAAAGATGGTATGTTATATCCAAGACGATCTCCCCTTCGTCCTGAAGCCATCTGTAGAGAATTTCTACACCTTGGTAACAGACAGTCCCCTGGACAGAGAGGAAAGAGCCCAGTACAACATCACCATCACAGTCACTGACATGGGAACCCCCAGACTGAAAACCGAGCACAACATAACCGTGCTGGTGTCCGACGTCAACGACAACGCCCCCGCCTTCACCCAGACCTCCTACACCCTGTGGGTCCGCGAGAACAACAGCCCCGCCCTGCACATCGGCAGCGTCAGCGCCACAGACACAGACGCGGGCGCCAACGCCCAGGTCACCTACTCGCTGCTGCCACCTCCCGACCCACACGTAGCCCTCGCCTCCCTCGTGTCCATCAACCCCGACAACGGCCACCTCTTCGCCCTCACGTCCCTGGACTACGAGGCCCTGCGGGCCTTCGAGTTCCGTGGGCCACCTGGTGGACGTCAGCGGCACGGGGACCCTGTCGCAGAGCTACCAGTACGAGGTGTGTCTGACGGGAGGAACTGGGACCAGAGAGTTCAAATTCCTGAAGCCGATTCTCCCCAATCTCGCACCCCAGCGCATAGGCAGGGAAGTGGAAGAATATCCCTCATATCGGAATGATTTGGGTTTGTGATAAAAATAAAAAATACCGTTATTGTATCTGTGAATATATTCCTGTTAAGAAATTTATCTCAATTTTACCTGTAGAGGAGTACTTGCACATCATTGCAGGTATTACTAAGGTCAAAGAATGAATTTCTTCACACAGGAAAGGATTCACCTTTAGCCCTAAGAACACAAAGCATGGATTGGGTATTGTCATCTTTTGCCTCAGTTATGCTTTGTGTGCAGTCTATTACATGACAAATCTTGTTTGAGACGTTTTAAATTGGAATTCACTGTCTTCAAATGTTATTGCTACTTTTATTTTCTGAGTTGATTAGAGTGCTGTGCAAGTACCTTAATTTAAAAAAAATACCATGCAATATATACTTATTTTGACATTTTCAATTTTAGAAATAAACCTATGATGGGAGGTATTTTAGAAATGAGCAAACGTATGTTCATAGCGGTTCTGTGAGTTCACAAAGGTCACCAATAAATGGCAGAGCTAAGCATCTCTTATAAATCTGATTCTGGGGCCTTATTGTGATGCTATACTGTATTCTCTTGTTAGGTATCACCTGGCAAGTTTCTGCCTAATTAAAGAGAAATCTTTCTCTCATATCTCTGTACAGTCTTTTCTGTATTTGTAAAGAATAAGATGTGTACTGTGGTTTTATTTTCTTATAAACTAACAATACAGTTTTTGTGGATAATAATTCAGAAATAATAACTCAAGTATTATTTTTAAAGCTCTGACCTAACCAAATCTCAAAAACAATGGAAAGATCCGTATCTTCTTTTTGTTATCTGAACTCATGACCTGCATTTCATAGAAAAGATTAATGACCATGAATAGAAATACAATTATTAATTTTAATCACTTATTTCCCTCCCATTGTAATTTTTCTACGTTAGCCCCTATTTGCTCTTTTTAACACATTTTCCCTTTAAATTGAAAGTTTATTTTTAAAGTTATATTCAATATACTTAAATGCTGAATCAGGAAAAGGGGAGGAACAGAATTTTACACAATGAGAGAAATTAAGACATACCATCCAAATGTAATGGATGGTGGATCTTTGAATTTTGATTCAATGAGTACAACTTAGAAATAATTAGAAAAGTCTGACTATAAACTGATATTAAACAATATTAATTTCTTAGGTGTGATAAGGTCACTGTAGTGTTTCTTAAAAACTGAAACTTAGAGATGTATAATAAAATTTTTACAAGTGAAAATTTAGTTTGTCTGGGATGTGAAAATGTTGGGGATATAGGGTAAACAATTATGGCAAAATATTAATACCTGTTCTAACTAGCTATGAGTACCTGGGAGTTCGTCATACCACTCTCCTTCATTATGGGGTTTGAATTTTTTCAAAAATAAAAGATTTTTTAAATGGACAGTGTAAAGATTTTTGGACACAGTAGGTGAAGTAAAGAGTGGGATGATTTGAGAGAATAGCATTGAAACATATATATTATCATATGCAAAATAGATAGCCAATGGGAAATTCTCGATGTATGGCTTAGAGAACAAGTCAGTGCTCTGTGACAACCTAGAGTGTTGCGAAGGAGAGGGAGGTAGGGACATTCAAGAAAAAGGGGACATGTGTATACCTAATATTAATTCATGTTGATGGCAAAAAAATCACAATATTGTAATCATCTCCTAACTTTGGAAAAAAAAGCTGGAAAAAACTGACACTGTAAGAAGTGGAATGAAAACTAGAATACTTGTGAGATACAGACTCATCAGTATGATCACAGATTATACCTCTACTAAAACTCTCCAGCCTTTCTGTTTCATCATATGATATGATAACATCTATCTGAAATAATGCTGCTCATGAATTCTTCTGCTATGTGAATCTTGTTTTTCTACTCATGGCAATGGACTAATGCAAACTGAGCTACCTGATGTCATCAAATTACATGCCTGGTGTATGTGTTTATAAGGTTAATTTTTTTCTGCCTCAGTTTCCTCATCTGTAAAGTGGGGAACTCACAGCAGCCCAAGGGGTAAGTACCTTTAGTATCATCACATTAGATAGATGAGGAAACTGAGGCACTGGTTAAATAATGTGTCCAAGGTTTATAGCTACTAATTATCCCCATAGTTCATGTCAATAAAAGTGTACAATTCTCAAAGTTTTCTGTTACTATACACATTTAAATTTCTGCACAGTCTTTCTTATCAAACTGTCACATATATTCTTTTGCTCCAAACTGAATTAGCATTATTGAAAGTAGTCAGTCTACTATCATTTCTCCTGTATGGCCCTCAGACAGTTGTCTGAACCTTAGGGTGTGGGAAACAGTAAAAATAGTATTCTAAGGGAGGCCTGGCGTGCTGCATTCCATTGGGTCGAAAAGAGTCAGACGTGACTGAGTGACTGAACTGAACTGAACCTTAGATATATCGGTGATATGTACTGTCAAGAGTTGGGAACACTGGGGAGTTCCCTGGTGGTCTAGTAGTTACGATTCTTTGCTTTCACTTAAGTGACATGGGTTCAGTCCCTGGTCAGGGAACGCAGATCGCAGAAGCAACGCAGCGCGGCCAAAATTTAAAAACAAAACAAAACAAATCTGGGAACACTGCATCCATTTCAACCCAGAAAATACAAGTTCCTCTGAGGACGCGTGGTGGCGCTGCAGGATAAGAAGGTACGAACCTAAACCGCAGCTGTGATTCTATTAAAAGCAGAACTCGTAAGCAGAGCCTGGAAGCCAACGGGTAGCTTAGATGTCACGGTAGGAGGACTAGGTCTTCCGTAAAGGGCTACTCACGGAAATATTTCTGAGGTAACCACGAGACATTGAGGCCTTTACAGCTCAGCGGAACCATCCTCGCCAGTGGCTATTCTGGGCAAGAACAATGGAGGCCAGCAGGAAGCTCGTTTGCAGACAAAGGCAAGTCCTTTTCTTCTTTCTCTTCTTACACTTAGCTCTGGCGGGCTTTGAATTTAGGCGTTATTCTGTGGTGGAGGAAGCTGAAGGGAGCTCTTTTGTCACCAATTTAGCAAAAGACCTGGGTCTGGGGCAGGGGGAACTCTCCAGGCGGGGAACAAGGGTCATTTCCAAAGGAAACAAACTGTATTTGCAGCTGGATCAGGAGTCTGGGGATTTACTGCTAAATGAGAAACTGGACCGCGAGGAACTGTGTGGTCAGACAGAGCCATGTGTGCTGCGTTTCCAGGTTTTGCTAGAGAATCCCTTAGAGTTTTTTCAAGCTGAGCTACAGGTAATAGACATAAATGACCATACTCCAGTGTTCATGGATGGAGATATGTTGTTAAAAATATCAGAGAACAGTCTTCCTGGCACTACATTTCCTCTGAAGAATGCTCAGGACATGGATGTAGGCCAAAATAATATTGAAAATTATATAATCAGTCCCAACTCCTATTTTCGGGTCCTCACTCGCAAACGCAGCGATGGCAGAAAATATCCGGAACTTGTGCTGGACAAAGTGCTGGATCGAGAGGAGGAAGCTGAGCTCAGGTTAACCCTCACTGCTCAGGATGGTGGTTCTCCCCCACGGTGTGGCACCGCTAACGTCTACATAGAAGTCATAGACATCAATGATAACGCCCCTGAATTTGAGCAGCCTTTCTACAGAATAAACATCCCTGAGGACAGTCCCAAAGGCTTCCTTGTTGTCAAAGTCTCTGCTACCGATGTAGACATAGGAGTCAATGGAGAGATTTCCTATTCACTTTCCCAGGCTTCAGAAGACACCAGCAAAACCTTTGAGATCAATGCCATGACTGGAGAAATTCGACTCAAAAAACAACTTGATTTCGAAACAACTCAGTCCTACGAGGTCAATATCGAGGCCAGAGATACTGGAAGCCTTTCTGGAAAATGTACCGTTCTGATCCAAGTCGTGGATGTGAACGACAATGCCCCAGAAATCACCATGTCTGCACTTACCGGACAGATCCCTGAGAACTCGCCTGAGACTGTGGTTGCAGTTTTCAGTGTTTCAGATCTTGACTCTGAAGAGAATGGTAAAGTAAGTTGCTCCATTCAGTACGATCTACCGTTTTTGCTGAAATCTTCCATGGAAAATTTTTACACTCTAGTAACAGAGCGACCGCTAGACAGAGAGACCAGAGCCAAATATATCATCACCATCGCTGTCACGGACTTTGGGACACCCACACTGAAAACCGAGCACAACATAACCGTGCTGGTGTCCGACGTCAACGACAACGCCCCCGCCTTCACCCAGACCTCCTACACCCTGTGGGTCCGCGAGAACAACAGCCCCGCCCTGCACATCGGCAGCGTCAGCGCCACAGACACAGACGCGGGCGCCAACGCCCAGGTCACCTACTCGCTGCTGCCACCGCCCGACCCACACGTAGCCCTCGCCTCCCTCGTGTCCATCAACCCCGACAATGGCCACCTCTTCGCCCTCACGACCCTGGACTACGAGGCCCTGCGGGCCTTCGAGTTCCGCGTGGGCGCCGCCGACCGCGGCTCACCCGCGCTCAGCAGCCAGGCGCTGGTGCGCGTGTGGGCCACCTGGTGGACGTCAGCGGCACGGGGACCCTGTCGCAGAGCTACCAGTACGAGGTGTGTCTGACGGGAGGAACTGGGACCAGAGAGTTCAAATTCCTGAAGCCAGTTGTACCCAACTTTCAGAGCCATTTCCCGGGGCCAGAAATAAATCCCCAATTTTAGTTAAGTATTCAGTGACAATAGTTGTTTTTAATATTCCAAATATTTTAAATTGATGGTTAAAGGTTTTTCTGGCAACTTACCATGAACCTTTAAAACATTAAACTTACTTGCAAAATTTGTCTTTAAAAATGGCATCTTTTTTTCATTACTATAACAAAATTAATGGTCCTAAATGTTGCCGGAAAACAGTGATGAAGTCAATAGCTGTACAAACCCTTGTTATGTCATAGCTTAGAACTAATGAGGAGAAAACAATGGGAAATTATTGTCAGTTGTATTCGCTTGACTTTTTCTGCAGTTTAACCAGTAAGTATGTAAGAGCAGTACTGTACTAACACAGTGAGCCATAACTAATATGAAAGGAGAGACAACTGGTACAGTGAGAATCTGGTTCTTGCTTTATTCTGCTGTCATAGCACTTTGATCTTATTTTCTCTTAAAATGTTATACTAATTGTATTTCATTAATATACCAATGTTAGTTTTAATATAATTGTTTTAACTGCTTTTCATTTAGTTTCATTGGTGTTAAAAGGGGAGAAAAAGCTACACTGTTTATCCAGTGAGATGAAAGGGCATAGTAGGAAACTGGCTTTTCCCACTTGAGAAACACTGATCATCTATGACAGAGTATGCAGTAAGCCACTTAAATTCCATCTTTTCTTCTTTAGTAACAGATCCCCAAATTTCATTTAGAACATTAGTGTACTTAGTTAAAAGAAAACATTTTCCCAACTTTCTTGGCAGCTATAATAAAGCATTTGACTAGGTTACTGTCAAAGAAATGTGTATGAGAATGTCCTAAGAGAGTTTCAAAAAGGTCTTTAAAAGCAAGGTGATTCATCTAGGAGGTGACTGGGGGGGTCCCCTTTTGTCTTTCTCTAACTGCCTTTGCTGCTTGAAATGTGTGAGTAATATTTGGAATATAATGTCATATTGAGCCATAAAGCAAAACTAAAGATGAAAATAATGGTTCAAAACAGTCAGTGTAGCATAAACTATAAAGATTTGAGGATCCCTGATAATCAGAGTCATCATGTCATCCCTGAATTGCCTACTTCTGAAATTTTTTTACTTGGGAAATAAAGGGATTTCTATCTCATTTAAGCCACTATTGTTTTAATTTTGTGCTACCTCCAGAAGAATCCAATCCTAATGCTCTCACAGTAAGATAGTGTGTTAAAATATTATATAATACAGTAGAATGCACAACTCTTAAGTGTAAGAGAATTCAATGTAACTGATTTTTGTCATTTTTTCTTCAATACTAATTTAGAGTGAGGAGTGCTTTACATACCTTATCTTTATAATCCTCTGCCAAACCCTAAGGATGGAGAGGGCAATGGCACCCCACTCCAGTACTCTTGCCTAGAAAATCCCATGGATGGAGGAGCCTGGTAGGCTGCGGTCCATGGGGTCGCTGAGAGACATGACTGAGCGACTTCACTTTCACTTTTCACTTTCATGCATTGGAGAAGGAAATGGCAACCCACTCCAGTGTTCTTGCCTGGAGAATCCCAGGGACGGGGGAGCCTGGTGGGCTGCNGACATGACTGAGCGACTTCACTTTCACTTTTCACTTTCATGCATTGGAGAAGGAAATGGCAACCCACTCCAGTGTTCTTGCCTGGAGAATCCCAGGGGCGGGGGAGCCTGGTGGGCTTCCGTCTATGGGATTGCACAGCACGAATGAAGAGACTTAGCAGCAGCAAACCCTAAGGAAGTTGACATATTATCTCCCCTTTTACTTGCACACAATTGGGAGTAATAAATGAAAAAAAATGTGAAATATATTCTAAGTCTACTTGAATTTAGTACCCCAGTTCTTAACCCAGATGCTATTCCGACAAGCATTAACTGGTAGCACTGTCTTCGAAACTAAGTGAAATTCTTTTTCATGAACGGAACTCACATGTAGAAATGTTAACTTTTAATCTATTCCTTGATTTTAGTTCTGTACCAAAGATCACACTGCTCTGAACCAATGAACCCAAAGTTCTTATAGAAGTATTGACTTAAGTAAGCTGGGTTAGATACCACAATTGACCTTCATCATGATCCAATCAGTCTGATTATATTCCTGTACCTTCTCAACATACCACATTCATAACTGCAGAAATGAATGCTCTGAATAGAAGGTAAAATTAACCCTGTGGTTGTATTTTTGTACTATTTCTTTAGTCTTTTTCTGTCAATGCTAATATACCTATTCCTTTTTTGAAACTTTATCATACACAATTTGTAAGTTCCTTACTCAGATTAACATACTATATTCACATTATTAGCTGACTATTTGTTTCAAAGCAGTAGCTATTCTAGTATTACTTCTGAATGAAATAACTAATTTCAGAAAAGTATGAGCAATTATGTGGCAGAATTTTTATCACTAAACAATTGAGAGATTCTGGAATGTTAACAGAGCCAATAGGCTCTAGTAATTTTCTGTTAAAATTAACCATGTGGCTTTGACGACATCTCTTTAAAAATTATACTGAAAAAAGATTAAGAGGGTCATAAAAAACTATTTTGAAAAAATGGGTCATAAGAGCTTGCAGACATTCTTCAGCATTTGCTCTGAAAATGCTGTTCTTGCAGAGTTGCTGACTTGGATGCTGGGTGCATGAAAATTCATGTTTATGTGTATTAGTTTTGTATGGCTACTATTAATTTAATTTTTTCCTACCTCCACAAATTACCACAAACATAGTTGCTTAAAACAATAAAAATGTACTACTATATAGTTCTTTAGGTGTGATGTCTGACGTGAGTCTGACTGGGCTAAATACAGGATGTAGCAGGGATGCATTTCTTTTTGGTGGCTCTAGAGGAGAATTAATTTCTTGGTCTTTTCCAGCTTTTAGATGCTGCCTATATTACTTGACACATGGCCTCTTTCATCTACATTCAAAGCCAGCAACACTCTGTCCCTTAGTCCAGTTCTTCTGTAATCTTATCTCTCTTGATCATAGCCAGGAAAGGTTCTGTCTGTCCCTCCAAGATAATCCAAGATAACCTCTCCTTCACAGGGTCCTCAATTTAATTACATCTATGAATTCTCTTTTGATGTGTAAGGTAACATTATTACAGATGTTGGGAATTAGGGCATGGATATCTTTGCGTAGGTGCCCATTATTCTGCTTACCCTTGGCTGTTCGAAAGAAGATCATCCAGTCTGGCAGTACCACCTATGGCCAAAGAAAGGCATACAAAGACCTTTGTGACAGGAGTTTAGACCTCACTGATTAGTGCTTTAGCCCTAAACAAAGTATTAGACAAACTTCTAAAGATAGTTAAACAAAAACACTGAGTTTATAAATGTATTATGAATCTTTACCAAAATTCAATTTTAATTATAAAGCTGGAATATCTAATCTAAATGGTATGGGTTTGAGGTAGAAAATGTTCTAAAATTGACTGTGGTTGTAGATGTGAATATACTAAAAGCCATTGAATTATACATTTTTGAATGTATAATTTTATGGTATGTGAATTACATCTCATTAAAGCTGTTTTTAAAAAGGAATAAAATATTTCTCATCATGATTTTTTTTTAATCCAAAAACATGGCAGGCCTAATAACCGTTCGACTCCCTTTCTGGGAAGTTTTGGAACATGAAACTTTTGGTAACTCATGAAACATGGAAGTTTTGGAAACTCACAGTCCTCAGGCTTAGATGTTGGAAAGAAGAAGTAATATTCTTTAATAAGGCATTGGTAAAATATTCTCTTTAGAACCATAATTGATTGCAATTTTGTAATGTCTACTCATTTATACTTCTATAATATTTACCATGAAAATGATGTACTAAAGTGTATATTCTTAGCTTAAATGGTAATTATTTTATTTAATCATTAACTCTGAACAATAACATAAATGAAAGTTTGCTCTTTGTACTTCTGTGCAACAACACAGCTCTTCCTGAACTCATAAAAGCCGTATGGAAATATAACTCTGTTTTAAATTGAAGAACACAGTTGACAACCTATTTAGTACATTTAGGAGAATTTTCCTTTCAGTTTTGTATTCAGTGTTAAACCAGTAAAGCTGAGACAGAACGCATGGTGGCGCTGCAGGGTAAGGTGATAAAAAAAGAGACTTGCCTTGAAAACAGTAGCTCCAGTATCCAGCTAGTTTCACACTGCCTAGAAGCTGCCTGAAGAATAGCTTTCTCAGCCAGAGCGAAAGTGAGTGTGAAGCCTCTCTAAAACTATATTTAGTGACAAAGCTCTGACCTGCGAGGGCTACCAGGATCTTGGGCATATATGAAGCTCCTGTGAACCCAGCTGTCAGGAAAGAGCAATGGAGACTGGACGGAGGCACAATCACAGACAAAGGCAAGTCCTAGTTTTCTTTGTTTGCCTGAGCATGTCTTGGGGGAGCGCTGATTTGGGGCCCTATTCAGTAGTGGAAGAAACAGAGAGAGGCTCCTTTGTGGCAAATTTAGCAAAAGACCTGGAGTTGGGGTTGACAGAGATGGCTACTCGATCGGTCAGGATCATTTCCCAGGGGAACAAAGAGCATCTGCAGCTTAACGTTCAGACGGGGGATTTGCTCCTAAATGAGAAGCTAGATCGAGAGGAGCTATGCGGTCCAACTGAGCCTTGCATATTACATTTCCAAGTATTAATGGAAAAACCTTTAGAGATATTCCAGACAGAACTGAGGGTGAAGGACATCAATGACCATTATCCTGTGTTCAATGAAAGAGAAATTATTCTAAAAATACCAGAAAACAGTCCTAAAGGAACTGCATTCCCTCTGAGTAATGCTCTGGACTTGGATGTAGGCAGCAACAATATTCAGAACTATACAATCAGCTCCAACTTCCATTTCCGGGTTATAACCCACAATCGCAGCGATGGCAGAAAATACCCTGAGCTGGTGTTGGACAAAGAGCTGGATCGGGAGGAGGAGCCCGAAATCTCATTAACGCTGACAGCGCTGGATGGCGGCACTCCACCAAGGTATGGGACAACCCAGGTTCGAATTGAGGTGATGGACATCAACGATAATGCCCCTCAGTTTCAGCAGTTGCTCTACAAGGTGAATATTCCCGAAAACAGCCCAGTAGGCTCCCTGGTTGTCACTGTTTCTGCGAGCGATGTAGACAGTGGACTCTATGGGAAAATATCATACGCATTCTTTCAGCCTTCTGAAGATATTAGTAAAACTTTAGAGGTAAATCCAAAGACAGGCGAAATTCGACTGAGAAAACAAGTAGATTTTGAAACAGTTCTCTTTTATGAAGTGGATGTCAAGGCCACTGATGGGGGCGGCCTCTCAGGAAAATGCACTCTTCTCCTGCAGGTAGTGGATGTGAATGACAATCCTCCGGAAGTGACAGTATCTGCACTTACCAGCCCCATCCCAGAGAACACCCCTGAAATTGTAGTTGCTGTTTTCAGTGTTTCAGATCCTGACTCTGGGAACAATGGGAAAACAACTTCCTCCATACAAGATGACCTTCCTTTTCTTCTAAAACCTTCAGTCAAGAACTTCTACACCTTAGTAACGGAGAGAACACTGGACAGAGAGGAAAGAGCCGAGTACAACATCACGATCACGGTCACTGACATGGGAACCCCCAGACTGAAAACCGAGCACAACATAACCGTGCTGGTGTCCGACGTCAACGACAACGCCCCCGCCTTCACCCAGACCTCCTACACCCTGTGGGTCCGCGAGAACAACAGCCCCGCCCTGCACATCGGCAGCGTCAGCGCCACAGACACAGACGCGGGCGCCAACGCCCAGGTCACCTACTCGCTGCTGCCGCCGCCCGACCCACACGTGCCCCTCGCCTCCCTCGTGTCCATCAACCCCGACAATGGCCACCTCTTCGTCCTCACGTCCCTGGACTACGAGGCCCTGAGGGCCTTCGAGTTCCGCGTGGGCGCCGCCGACCGCGGCTCGCCCGCGCTCAGCAGCCAGGCGCTGGTGCGCGTGCTCGTGGAGGACGCCAACGACAACTCGCCCTTCGTGCTCTACCCGCTGCAGAACGCCTCGGCGCCCTGCACCGAGCTGGTGCCCAGGGCGGCCGAGCCCGGCTACCTGGTGACCAAGGTGGTGGCGGTGGACGGCGACGCGGGCCAGAACGCCTGGCTGTCGTACCAGCTGCTCAAGGCCACGGAGCCCGGGCTGTTCGGCGTGTGGGCGCACAACGGCGAGGTGCGCACGGCGCGGCTGCTGAGCGAGCGCGACGCGCCCAAGCAGCGGCTGGTGGTGCTGGTCAAGGACAACGGCGAGCCGCCGCTGTCGGCCAGCGTCACGCTGCACGTGCTGCTGGTGGACGGCTTCTCGCAGCCCTACCTGCCGCCCCCGGAAGCGGAAGCGGCGGCCGCGGCGCCGGCCGACCCGCTCACCGTCTACCTGGTGGTGGCCTTGGCGTCGGTGTCGTCGCTCTTCCTCTTCTCGGTGCTGGTGTTCGTGGCGGTGCGGCTGTGCAGGAGGGGCGGGGCGGGCTCGGCGGGTCGCTGCCGGGTGCCCGAGGGCCACTTCCCGGGCCACCTGGTGGACGTCAGCGGCACGGGGACCCTGTCGCAGAGCTACCAGTACGAGGTGTGTCTGACAGGAGGAACTGGGACGAATGAGTTCAAGGTCCTAAAGCATATTCTCCCCAATCTCTCATCCAAGAGCATAGGTAGCGAAGTGGAAGAAAACCCCTCGTTTCAGGGTAGCGTTGGAATTTAATAATTCATAGGAACTTATTTAATAAAGACATTTTCTTCCTATTTTTTGTTTAAAATACTACCACCACCAATAAGGTAGTATTTAATTTTCTCTGTTTTGTTTATCCTCAATTTCCAACTTTGTTCAACTTCACAAGTTTCCTTTAATTCATATTTCAGTTCAGTGAAGCATTTCTCACCAGAATCCCAACGAGTGAAATAGATTTTATCGTCAAAGTTGGTTTTACCACATTTTCCCCACTTTATACATCTTTATTGACTTTGTGTTTACATTTAAATGTCAGCTCTTAATACTTAAGTTACTAAGATAATCTGCTGCATGTTATCTGTATGTTTACTATTTGATTTTTTCAAAACTGGTATTTTGGGTGATTTGTCAATCTAGATTTTCATTACAGCAATTTTCTTAAATTATGTTACTTTTAAAAACATTCTCTGTATTGCCATTTACTTATTTAAAATATAGTATTTCTATTGGGTGATGTCTCTTATCTGAAAATAAGAAACATGATTTTAGGATACTGAGAGTGTGTGTATATATATATATATGTTTGCAGACAAAAAAAAGCAAAAATATCATTATTCTATAGTATCACATAGAAATGTTTAATAGTTTGTTGCTTTTAATTTTGTATGAAAAAAATCAGAGATTCCTGTCAAATTTTTAGGGGCTAACAATGCAGTCCCATTCAGGCAAAAAACAAGTCATCAAGCAGCGGTTTATACCCTATGGACTTTATGTTTAAAAATTCGAGTGTTTTGGACAGTATCTATCCCATTCCTTATACAATATTTCTCTGTTTAATCTGTATATCTTGTTTATTGTTGAGGAAAAGTGATTTCCCCCTAGATGTTAGGGCCTTGGACAAAATTCTCTGTGAGGCAGAGTTTATAATGCTGTTCTTATTTTCAGTAATTAGGACAGACATTAGTGTGGTCTACTTTTTATTTTGTGCATGAAATTAGATCCCACTTGAATTAAGAAAGACCTTAAAAAAGAGGTCAGTCCCTTAATTCTGCATATATTTTAAAACTGATATAAGAAAAACAGACATGTGAAAGGGAACAAATTGCAAAGAATGAGTGAAAGTATACAATTTTTCAAATAAGGCGCTAAAATATTTCCTGTCCTACTCACTAGAGTTTATTTATGCATCCCTTAATACAGTAAGCATTTAGTGATTGATTTGGCAATCAATGATGATTAAGACATAGTTTCCATATTGAAGTTCCATTCCTTAATCAAGTCACATATTGAAGAAGGGACAGATTATTGTAAACTATTTACAGGGCAATTATACAGGTTTTGATGGGAGCACACAGAAGATACAGCCTTAAATTCTTCTTTCTGGATTATACAATAATGATTATATTTATGCAATGTAAGTTTGGAAGAAATTTGTTAAAGAAGGTGTGAAAAGTTTCTTTTCTCAGTTTTTGGTGTTCCTATGCTCAAGTTTTGGAAATGTAAAATCTGTTCCTTTGGTGATGTTGGAGGTCACTAGTTTTAGTTTGGATTCCTTGTATTGCTTGGGAGAAGTGTCAGCAGTGAAAAGTTTAGAACTAAAATCTAGCACAATGGACAGATTTAACTGCTAGACATATTTTTTCAACTGATGAATTTTTAACTTTCCCCATAAGCAGTGAAAATTTTCAACAAAGTGAACAATTCCCTATCTTAACATTGTTTTTAATGATACAAACAAAAGAAAAATGAAATATTTAAATAAGAAGAAAGATATAGAAGCGCACAAATTGGGTACAGCAATTTGAGTCTGTTGGAGGCCACGCGGTGGCGCTGCAGGCTAAAGAGCCGGGGGTAAAAATCAACTGAGTGCGCTGCGGTGAGTCACTGACATAAAAAGGAAGATAGCAGCAGGTAGACCAGGGAGAAAAGCTGTAGCAACCCAAGATTAGAAACGGGGGTTATAAAATATAACCCAGGCCTTTGCTACTAGGCGGTGTAGATCTGCGATTTGCGATTGCTGTTTTTTTACACTGGGATCTGTGATTGTTACCAACATTAATGAAAGACGTGTTCAGAAGCAGCTATGGAGGCTAGACGATTTCCCTGCTCAAGACAAAGGCAAGTCCTATTTCTTTTTCTGTTTGGGGTAGTATCCTTGGCAGGCTCTGGGTTTGGACGTTACTCGGTGACAGAGGAAACAGAGAGAGGATCCTTTGTAGTCAATATAGCTAAGGATCTGGGGCTAGGGGACAAGGAGTTGCTTGCAAGGGGAGCACGGGTGGTCTCTGATGATAACAAACAACACTTGCTCCTGGACTCTCAAACTGGGGATTTGCTTACAAATGAAAAACTGGACCGGGAGACGCTGTGTGGCCCCAGAGAACCGTGTATGCTGTATTTTCAAATTTTAATGGATAACCCATTTCATATTTATCGGATTGAGCTGAGGGTGAGGGACATAAATGATCATTCACCAGTTTTTCGGGACAAAGAGACAGTCTTAAAAATATTAGAAAATACAGCTGAAGGGACCTCATTTCAACTAGAAAGAGCACAAGATTCAGATGGAGGACTTAATGGTATCCAAAACTATACTATCAACCTCAACTCTTTTTTCCACATTAAAATTACTGGCAGTGATGAAGGCATAATATATCCAGAGCTAGTACTGGACAGGGCGCTGGATCGGGAGAAACAGCAAGAGTTCAGCTTAACACTCACAGCGCTGGATGGAGGATTGCCACCCAGGTCTGGAACCACTAATATACGCATTGTGATCCTGGATGTCAATGACAATGCCCCTCAGTTTTCTCAGGCAATCTATGAGACCCAGGCTCCGGAGAACAGCCCTGTAGGGTCCTTTATTGCTAAAGTCTCTGCAGGAGATGCAGACTCTGGAATCAATGCAGACATATCCTATTCATTTTTTGATGCTTCTGAAGATATTCTAACAACCTTTCATATCAATCCTTTTTCTGGAGAAATCATACTCAGACTGTTGCTTGATTATGAGCTAGTAAAGTCTTACAAAATAAATATACAGGCAATCGATGGTGGGGGCCTTTCTTCAAAATGCACAGTTTTGGTCGAGGTATTAGACACCAATGACAATGCTCCTGAACTGATCATATCATCACTTTTCAACCATGTTGCGGAGAACTCTCCTGAGACAGTATTAGCTGTTTTTAGGATTAAAGACAGAGACTCTGGAGAAAACGGAAAGACGGTTTGCTTCATTCCAGACCATCTGCCGTTTCTTCTGAAGCCGTCTGTGGAGAATTTTTACATCCTAATGACAGAAGGAGCACTGGACAGAGAAAGGCAAGCGGAGTACAACATCACGATCACGGTCACTGACATGGGAACCCCCAGACTGAAAACCGAGCACAACATAACCGTGCTGGTGTCCGACGTCAACGACAACGCCCCCGCCTTCACCCAGACCTCCTACACCCTGTGGGTCCGCGAGAACAACAGCCCCGCCCTGCACATCGGCAGCGTCAGCGCCACAGACACAGACGCGGGCGCCAACGCCCAGGTCACCTACTCGCTGCTGCCGCCGCCCGACCCGCTCGTGCCCCTCGCCTCCCTCGTGTCCATCAACCCCGACAACGGCCACCTCTTCGCCCTCACGTCCCTGGACTACGAGGCCCTGAGGGCCTTCGAGTTCCGCGTGGGCGCCGCCGACCGCGGCTCGCCCGCGCTCAGCAGCCAGGCGCTGGTGCGCGTGTGGCCACTTCCCGGGCCACCTGGTGGACGTCAGCGGCACGGGGACCCTGTCGCAGAGCTACCAGTACGAGGTGTGTCTGACGGGAGGAACTGGGACGAATGAGTTCAAATTCTTGAAGCCGATTCTCCCCACTGTTCAGGCACAAGATCCTGGGAGAAATAGTGATGAAAATCCCACATTTCGAAATAGCCTTGGATTTAATTTTCAGTAAAATTCTTTCTATATGCTCGGGTATTTTTGAAGTGTTATGCAACTATATCAATATTAGTTTAGTTTTATTACTCCAAGTTAAATTATTCTGCAACTTAAAGCTTTATTTTAAAGTACTATATGATTTTACAATGTTATTTCATCCTTTTTTCCCCCCATTAAACAGGTTAGGTGTAATCAGTACCCCATCTAAATAACAGTTTGTATGTTTGGTTCCTTCAAAACGTACAAGAGTTTAGTACTATTCTCATTCTAGAAAACTGGTTGATTTTTTCCCTAGTACATTTCATAGACTGCATCTCATTATCCTATACACCTACAGTACCTCCTTTACCTAAGAAGACAAACCTGCATGTCTTGACCTTACTAAAACATTTCTTTAATCATGATAATAAACTGTATCATCTAGCTCTAAATGATATTTTAAAATAAATATTTCTCTATTATTCTGCTCATGATGAAATGAAACATCATTGGTGGGATTCCCTGGTGGTCCAATGGTAAGGACCTAGAGCTTTCACTGTCTGCACCTGGGTTCTTCACTGGCCAGGAAATTAAGATCTGCCAAGCTGCCTGTGTAGCCAAAAACATCCCAACCAACTTAAACAAACAAGCCAAAACCATGAAGCATCATTTTGTGAGCAACATTATAATATCCTTGTGTTCATATCAGAAGACTTAGCTTAGGGACCAGGGACTCCCTGGTGGCTCAGACAGTAAAAAGTCTGCCTACAATGCTGGAGCCCCAGGTCGGGAAGATCTCCTGGAGAAGGAAATGGCAACCCACTCCAGCATTCTTGCCTGGAAAATCCCGTGTACGGAGGAGCGTAGTAGGCTACAGTCCATGGGGTCGCAAAGAGTCGGACATGACTGAGCAACTTCACTTACTCACTGTGTTCATATTATTTCATTTTCTTTAAATACGCTACTCTTTGTTAATATTTTCTAATGTTCACTTTTGCTGATATATAAACCAGACTGTCTTATAATTCAAACAAAATATAATAACCTGCATGAAAATGAATATAAAAACATTTTGAGAGTCTGTATAAAGCTATTAGTGGACTGTTACAAAGCTCTTCACTTTTCATTTTATTTTGTAAATATATTTTTATTATCTCAAATTTTTTAATAAAGATGAACTAAAAATCATAAGGAATGACAACAGATTCATCTCCAGCCCTCTTCTCTGTTTTCTGTAGCATTTATTTACATTTTCTGTTATGTATGTATACTGCTTTGACATTCAATTTTTTACTTTAATAACTTCTTCCTGTAATAAATGACTTAACTTTCTTACCTTTTTATTTCTTAATTACTTGACCTCCTTTCTTGTTGAAATATAGTTGATTGCAATATTATGTTAATTTCAGGTGTACCATATAGTGATTTGATATTTGCATACATTATGAAATGATTACCACAAGTCTAATAACCAACTATACCCATACAAGTTGTTATAGTATATTCCTTATGCTGTATATTACATTTCCATGTTTTTTGAAATTTTATAATTGTAGGTCTGTGCCTTTTAATCCCGATCACCTATTTCATGCCCTCCTTGCCTTCCAATTAACAAACACACAAACATTGCACATTCCCTTTCTTCTGTTGTCACTCTTAGGTTTCCTTCTTCTCCTGCTTCTGCTTCCTCTTTTCCCTCTCCTCCTCCTTTTGGTTAAACTAATAGGTTTGGTTTATTTGCTAAGATTACTTCATAGTACACATTACCATAGTATGATTACCTTCCCTTTCTTGAAAATATATCTTTCCTAGAGTTGATAATTACTTTTATTTGCACAATTTTCTATTTAATTCTATTGATTTTTCACATTATTTCTCCATGAATATCATTATTTCCCCTTAAATTTTAAAAAATTTCAGAAGCCTATCAGTTATACTTGTTTTCTGGAGATCTTTCACCCAAATTCCCTCCTAACTCTCGCCTTCATTTATACTATTTGCTCTATAGTTAGGACTTTAACATTTTCCTGTGTTGGTCCCCTTTGATAAGAAACAGTATATAGTGGATCCTTGAGCAACAGGGTTTTGAACTTTGTGTCCACATATATGAGGATTTTTCTAATACATATACACTTGAGCCTGTGTATGCACTGACTGCACATCTAATGAGTCAACCCATTGCAGAATACAAACTTAATACACAATCTTAGCTTGGCTGAATCTTTGGATGTGCAACCCCTGGATGGGGAGGGCCAACTATGGGATTTGAGCATCTGGGGAATTTGATATCTGTGGGTCTTAGAACCAAACCCTCACAAATTCTAAGAGGTGACTGACTTAGCTGACACAGATCTCTCAATATCTTCATAAAAATAGATGCATAGGACATAAAATTTTTGAGAACTTGCCTTGTGACAGTATCTTTGTTTTCATTTGATTGATAGTTGGATATAAAATTCTAGGCTGAAAATAATTTTCCCTCAGATCTTGAAAGCAGTATTCCTTTTAGTGATTGCATACAGAGGTGCTATTCAGAAGACTTTCCATTCTGATTCCTATCTTTCACCGTCACCACATTTTTGCATAGTGGAAACACTGGAAACTGTTTTCTCCTATTCTGAAGATAGACGCATCAGTGTCGGCTCTTTATCTAGTCACATGGGTGTACTCTGTTAACATTTAAACTCTCACTTTTAGCTCTGAGAAATTTCCTTGTTCTATTTTCATCATAATTTCTCCTTTGAATTTTGTATCGTCTCACCATAATCTCATTAGTTAAATACTGGATATCCTGAATTGATTGTCTCCCTCTAATTTTTTTCCACTTCTTATTTTCTTTTTGCCTCTTGTTCTACTTTTTGGACAAAATGTTTTATCATCCAAGCTTTGTACTTTTAATTTTTGACTGACAAATATTTATTTTTTTAAGAGCTCTTTTTAGTTCTCTTGAATGGTTTTCATAGCTTCTGTTTTAGATTTATAAATGTGGTATCTTTTGTCATTTAGATGACTAGTAGGCACGTGAAAAGATGCTCAACATCACTAATTATTCAGTTCAGTTCAGTCGCTCAGTTGTGTCTGACTCTGCGACCCCATCAATCACAGCACACCAGCCATCCCTGTCCATTACCAACTCCCAGAGTTTACTCAAACTCATGTCCATCGAGTCCGTGATGCCATCCAGCCATCTCATCCTCTGTCGTCCCCTTCTCCTCCTGCCCCCAATCCCTCCCAGCATCAGGGTCTTTTCCAATGAGTCAGCTCTTTGCATCAGGTGGCCAAAGTATTGGAGTTTCAGCTTCAGCATCAGTCCTTCCAATAAACACCCAGGACTGATCTCCTTTAGGATGGACTGGTTGGATCTCCTTGCAGTCCAAGGGACTCTCAAGAGTCTTCTCCAACACCACAGTTCAAAAGCGTCAATTCTTCGGCGCTCAGCTTTCTTCACAGTTCAACTCTCAGATCCATTCATGACTAGTGGAAAAACCATAGCCTTGACTAGATGGACCTTTGTTGGCAAAATAATGTCTCTGCTTTTTAATATGCTATCTAGGTTGGTCATAACTTTCCTTCCAAGGAGTAAGCATCTTTTAATTTAATGATTTCACTAATTGTTAGAGAACTGCAAATCAAAACTGAGGTACCACCTAACACTGGTCAAAATGGATCATTAAAAAGTCTACAAAAAACAAGTGTTGGAGAAGGTATGGAGAAAAGGGAACTCTCCTACACTGTTGGTGGGAAGGTAAGTGGGTACAAACAGTATGGAAGTTCCTCAGAAAACTAAAAATAGAATTACCACTTGATCCAGCAATCCCACTCCTGGGAATATACCCAGACAAAATTAAAATTCAGAAAGATACATGCACCCCCATGTACACAGCAGCACTATTCACAATAGCCAAAACATGGAAGCAACCTAAATGTCCATCAACGTATGAATGAATAAATAAGAACTTAGTACATATACACAAGGGAGTACCACTCTGCCATAAAAATGAACAAAAGAATGCCATTTGCAGCAACATGGATGGAACTAGAGATTATCATACTAAGTGAAGTAAGTCAGAAAGAAAGTGCAAATACCATATGAAATCACTTATATGTGGAATCTAAAATATGGCACAAATGAACCTACCAACAAAACAGAAACAGACTCATAAGACATAGAGAACAGACTTCTGGTTGCCAACAGGGAGGAGCGGAGAGGGATGGACTGGAAATTTGGGGTTGGTAGATGCAAAGTATTACATTTAGAATGAATAAGCAACAAGCTCCTAGTGTATAGCAGAGGGAACTACATTCAATATCCTGTGATAGACCATAATGGAAAAGAACATTTTAAAAGTATATGTGTGTGTGTGTGTGTGTGTTTGTATAACTGAATTACTTTGCTGTACACGACTGGCAAAACATTGTAAATCAACTATAATAAAAATTATTCTGTCATCTACAATCCATCTTTTAAAGTTATTAAATTCATTGTGCAGTACAAACTATTTTTAAAATAAAAGTGAGTCATAGAGAAATTAAGAACTTGCCCAGGATTATATAGCTAGGAAGTAGCACTAAGCCCAAATCCACTCTTTATCTTACAAAAGAATACATACTTCATATGATTACTATTGAAATTAAATGTGTAAACACATATGTGGCACTAGAATAATAGGCAGCACAGAATAAATACTCAATAAATATTAGCTCTTATCAGATTTTACTACTCTGAGGATATTAATCAGATTTTTTTATATTGAAATATAGTTGATTTACATTGCTGTTAATTTCTGCTATCCAACAAGTTAATCAAACATTTTAAAACACTTTCTTTAAAAAAAAACAAACACTTTCTTCTGTTTTCTCTATTTCTGTATCTGTTTCCTCCTGCGACCCCCTTTTTTGGTGGTGGTGGCGGTTTTGGCATTAATACTTCATTGGTATTACTACTTCCTCATGTCTTGTGGTCCATGGCTATCTTCTCATATTTAAGAATGATCAAGGTGCTGACAGTTAGCTCTCTGTGTATGTGATAATGAGGTTATTGATGGCAGGACCTCACTCTAATGTAATCATTGTAAGATAAGAGTTATTAGCTTAGGAGCTCCTCAAATACCAGTATGTTAAAGTTTTTGTTTGAACCTTTCATATGCTCCAGGTTAGGATTCTGCAATATCGTCTGTGCAAGAGAGAGTTAGAGATATGCACCCTGCGTACTCCAACTGGAGACTACTGCGTGGAAAGGGACTAGAAATCTCATCACTCAGGATGCAAAGTTTTGCTTCATTTCCCTATTTTTGGCTTCACCCCTCACATTTGCCCTTAACTCTGCCCAGGGTCTCCAAAGTTAGAGACGTTGTTTGGTTGCTAAGTTGTGTCCGACTCCTTTCCAACCCCATGGACTGTAACCCACTAGGATCCTCTGTCCATGGGACTTCCAGGCAAGAATACTGGAGTGGGTTGCCATTTCCTTTTTGGTCCTCAATGAACTTCAGTCTTATATACTTGGTTACTCTAAATCTTGTATCCAAATGGGATTATGTTGGACAAACAAGAACTTTTCTTTATAGACATTTCCTGGAACTGATAACTGCTCTTTCATCTGATTTCTGTCATCAAATTTATGTATATACATTCTCGGTCTCTGTAAGTTCATCTAATTTTTATTAACTATCATTTATTGGGCACTTTAAAAGGAGTAAGCTGTGTAAAATCATAGAATTACATGAAAGTACTGTAATATTGTTCTTCGAAATTTGGAAGGAATCAAACATGAGGGTATTCTGTCTTCTCTGAGCATAATAAATCTCACTC